TCGGTCTATCTTTCTTTGCATTTAGTAATAACTTGTGCCATCAAATGGGAAGCATCTATTAGGTACGATTTGTAGCTACGATTGATTGAAAATCCGTGATTATCCGATATACGCGGGCGTATCGATTGAATACACGGCGTTCGCCTCATTAAGCGCGTGTGTCAATGTAAAATCGCAGATGATCCATGACGCGTGATACGTTTTCCTCCGATGCTTTCTGTCACGTAGAAAAACAAGTCGAACGACTTTGTCCGATTTTGAATAATCGGCATCGATACGAGTCGAGGTATCGTCGTTGTTCGCGGAAAATAATTAATCGGATGAAAAATGGGAGCTAATTGAAAGACGCAAGGTGTATTAGTCAGATGAAATTGTAATATATGGAAATCGTTTGCCCGGCAGCCTTTTCGATCCTTAACTAAGAGCCTTAATTATTGGCGATTTTTCTAATGACATTTGCGCATGTCACTTTCTGTGAAGTGAGCACAGTTGCGGGAACATTACGTTGTCCGGTCAATAAAACGTTTTACCAGTTACGACGAAGATAACTCGGATGGATTGCATGCACAATAGCATCGTTATGTTTTATGCACGTTTCGTTATGAAAAGCTGAAAATGCTCATCGTAAATAAATCAATATTTGCCGTACGTATCGTAAATAAATCAGCATTTGACCGTATTCATTCGAAGCATCATTTAATGGACGGGCCGGCGCTCGCGAAGTGTAATTCACGCCGTGGATTTCCCCGACTCGGGAAACTCGCAGCCGCTTATTACGAGCGGACCGCTGCCGCGGTTTAAGACTGACGTCGTTTACGTAATCCCGCGCCGAGAGATTTATGAACGGCGTTATTTTTTCGCGCGGTACTTCGGCGCGCCGCGATGAAATCCATGGCGCGGCTCGGAGGACCCATCCGCCGACTGCCGGCGCCGCGCAATTTTTATCCTCTCGTCTGACGCGAGATAAACGAGGCCGTTGACGGCACCGAGATTTTTCCGCGCAGCGAATCAGCCACGTAAAAAGCGGGCCTGGAACCTGTTAGCTTCCGAGCGAATCTGCTCAATCATCCGCGCCGCGGTTAACCGTTACCGAACCTTTTAGTCGCGTTTATCTTTCGTAGGGAAAGAGAGGAAGAATCGATTTTTCGCGATACTGTTACATTCGCGCCGTGTACACGCGACAACGCGACGTGTTAATTTTTCATTTAGAATCGTCACAAATGACATCTCGCTACATCTCGACGTTATCGATTCGCGTTTTTAATAACGGAAAAATATTCAAGAGAGAGAGAGAGAGAGAGAGGAAAGACGAACCATGCAAGAAGTTCAATCCTAGAGTATGGAAAAAGAACAGACCTTATGTCTCGAGGGCAAAGAATGTACGTTCTTCTCTTTATGACAAATCTCTCTGTAAAATTGAGAGAGCGTGTAAACTGTATTTCATAAAGAAAAAAAACAGCATGGGAGTGCTTGAATTAGAACGAAAGACGTCAGTCTGACCTGATCCGATACCTCTATCGGCAGCTCATATTTCTGCGCTGACGATCCGCGACGAACCGCGTTTCTGGATGTGACACGAGTGTGTGCCGCGGTGATAAACTTAGGGATTCCGCACGCAAGGCGGACGCAGCGGTGCTCGCGGGCGAGCACGTGGCTGTAACCCGATGCGTCAGCCTCCGAAGTTGTAAGTTGTCTACATAATGCGTCGTTCGTCGTTCGCGCGGGAGAGAGATTTAGCGTCGTAGGATGCGTTTAACCGCGTACACGTTTGCCGCCCGTAAAGACGAGAGAGAGAGAGAGAGAGAGAGAGAGAACGAAACCGCGAAATGGAAATCCTACGTACCCATCGTCGTTTGCGATGACGAGCGATCACAAGCCCGTGACAGCACGTGGCGCGCGTTTCCGGAGCACCTGTACACTCTCCTCGCACGCGCGTAGTCCGCCCGGAGCACCGAGATCTAGATAGATCTCGTCGCGCGCGCGCGCACACACACACACACACACATACACACGCACACACTTTACGACGACACCCTTCGTTACGTCGGGACGATAAATTGATTCTCTCCTCCGACAAACTCCGTTTCACCTATAGGAATTCACTTTACGTCCGTAAGTAGAGACCCTTGTCGCACCGATAGAGAAGAGAAAGGCAGCGAGACAGATAAGTGAGTGAGTAGAGAAGATAAGCGAAGAAACAATAAAAGTTGGTGAAGAATAGGAAGGATCGTCCCCGATGAGAGGAAGAAGACAAGGGCACCTGAGAGAGAGGGAGGTGGAGAGCGACGCCGAAGGGAGGGCGCGAAGATAGACGGGATAGAAGACAGACGGATAGAACGCGGATGAAACGCCGGTCCGCCGTGCGGAGAAGCGCGGAGAAGTGCGGAGAAGTCGTGGGCACGATTGCCGTCACAACACTAGTAGCCTGGTATACTCTTCTGGTGGTACATACACACGATCCGTCTCTCCCTGTCTCCCTCGCTTCCCCCTTTCTCTCTCCGTCTCCGTCTTCCGTCTCTCGTCCGAGCTCTCTCGATTCCTTCTGCACCGTACGTGCGTTTCCTCCCGGTGCAAACGCACACACGTGCACGCACACACGCGCGTCTTCCCGCGTGCTCTCTCTCTCTCTCTCTCTCTCTCGCCTCTCTTTTTTTTCTACCTCCTCTCTCGCGCCGCCGTCGCGTAGAAGGGAACTTTGCGTTCTCTCCTCCTACTCTCCTTATTCGCGTCTCGACTCTCAGCCGCCCGCGAAAGCGTGGCACACACCGCGACAGGGCGATCTACTAGGTGAGACTAGTTCCTCCACCCAGACCCGTGGACCCGTTTTCTCTCTACGCCTCTCTCCTTCTCAGTCGCCTTCCTTCCGTCTCTTTCTCTCTCTCTCTTTCTCTCTCTCTCTCTCTCTCTCTCTCTCTCTCTCTCTCTCTCTCTCTCTCTCTCTCTCTCTCTCTCTCTCTCTCTCTCTCTCTCGTTGTCGTCCGTCCACGTCCGCCTTGCCGTCTCTCCCTCTACTTCTCTTAATCGTTCTTACGGCTCCTTCTCCGTTTCACGATTCTTCTCTCGCGCGCCTCCGACAGCCGAGAGAGAGAGAGAGAGAGAGAGAGAGAGAGAGAGAGAAAGAAAGAGAGAGAGAAAGAGAGAGAGAGAGAGAGAGAGAGAGGATTCTTCCGAGAGGATTTGATTTTACGAGCACCTACGGACCGATACGTTTTTACTCCCGGATCCCTGCTCTGCGACTAGTCACGAGACAGACTGCGCGATGGGAATAAGCTCATCTCTTTAGCAAGTGAGAAAAGAAAATTCCAACGGTATCGAACTAACGCGCCTTACGCTCTGCACTATTTTTAATACTGAATTTCCAGTAAGCTCTCTCTTCAGTTCGAGATCAATCAATCTCAAAGTAATGACCTAACAGAGTACAATTTCCCTGTCATATCTTCTTTTTTCACCGCTTCCTTCTTGCATCAGATGACACGCGAAAAGATGCTTCCTGGGTTTACGAGCTCTTATGACACGGTCTGCCGATCCTTTCGGATTAATTGCGCGATATACCGTTTTATCCTCTCGACGGAACCATTAAGCCGATACAGCCGGTAATACCTACTTTTCCAGACGTCGACGATAAAAAAAAAAAAAGGAAAGAAAGCAACGGAGCACGCATCTGTGGAAGATAGAGATCTCAGTGAAATTAATTTCACCATTGGCTCACTGATCCAACTTCGCTGCAGTTTTCGAAAGAAAAATGTACGGATTAATTTTTTCTCGCAATGAAAATCGACCTAACACAGGAATTAATGGACTGGAAAGATAAGAAATGTGTAATATGGATAATCGATATCTATAAGAAAATGTTCAACGTCTGTAAGAAGAGATTTTCCGCTGTCATTTCTTTTTTACGATATCGTTTGTCTAAAACTTTCAAGAGGTACAATTCCCTTCCATATTTCGCCAATTTCACATTCTCAGAGTCTATGTACGCGCGTGTTTATATTTAATTTAGGGATCGGGGGATTGAAGGACAAAGAAACGGGAAGGAGACTGAAAAGGCACGAATGATATCGCTACATCGCGTTCATCTTACTTGACACGCTTTTCGACTGTCGATACTTCAATATGTATGCAGAGTCGGCTATTTCTTTCTTTCTTATTGTTGGACAGTGATATATTTATTGTTACATTCATCCTTAATCCTTTCGAAGTTCGAAACGGTTTCACCGTTCCCTCTTGGTACTCCTGTCTCGTTCTCATCTCACGATAACAGAGAGAGGGGGAGAGAGAGAGAGAGAGAGAGATTCACTCCGATTTCGCAAGCGGTCCCGAGATACTCCGGCGCTCACTTCGATGGATTGTATCTCTCCTCATTGAGTTCGCTCGACCGAAATCGAGCCCATCGGCATCCCACGCGCAAAGGAGCTCCGGCGTGTAATGCCGAAATGGGAAGCGAGGTTGGATCGCACCGCGCACGTGTGCAGCATCGAAGAGAGGCTGGATGTCGGGATTATATACGGAAGCGATGCCAAAGAGCAATCTCCCGCTAAAGAAGCCAAACCGCGCCAACAAACCCCGCGTAACTCTCCCTTCAAAAAGATAGTTCCTTTACGTGTTACGTTAAATGGAATACGGTATATAGATAGACGGCAATCGTTGGAACTGAAACTATCGTGAAATTAAGTTATCAGTTTAACACAAAGCGCATTTAGACATTTCAACGGATTGGAAAACACACATCGTCAATTATTTAACACGTACAACGTACGATAGTATATTTTATATCGATATGTTGTTTGAACACGTAATGCCGGGGATATCTTGGATAACCGATATAGCGATACAAGTGTACCTTTATATATATATATATATATAGAAGAGGAAGAAGAGATCTTTTACTTTGAAGTCATCTAATGTAGCTATAATGCGCCGATGAATGGAAAGTACTTTTAACGGCTCTTTTATACACGTACGCTTGGGTACGATTATCAATTTGTGCGCAAAGATACCGCATTATCGATTCTTCCCGCGCCGCTTGATCTGCCCAGCAGCCGGCGGCTACGGCCGAAGGTCCAAGTATATCGATTCTAAAATCCACGAATGATACGATCGGCCTACGCGAGCGCGAGTTCGCAGGATGTGCGAATAGCTACCAAACTACCTACTTGTTATCAAGAGAGTCACCGCTAACGTCGTATATCTTTCTCGCGGACAATTAATTCTCTGCTCGAGCGAGGATGGCACGCGGCTCGTTATCGTCCCGGAATCGTGTCATGGATTTTCAACGATACGCCAACGCCAACGGTAGATTCGATGAAATTGCGGTGACCTTAGACCGTCGCGTCAAGACGGGCGATAAATCGAAGCAGGATTGATCGATGGTGAAATATTGCGTTAACATAAAGAAAAAGAGCGGAGGAGGGCGAATGAAAAAGCTATGTGCACCGCGTGTTATATCTACTAAGTGCAAGTTGGACGATAATGCTGGTCTAATGTAATGAATATGCGATCGCTACATCGAAATCGATCGACAATTCGCAAGCAAAGTGGTAATTCAACTCTGGTGGATGAGCGATAAATGAGCGGCCGACCGGCCGATTAGTTAGCACCGTCGCTGGGTTTGCGACTTCTACGGCGCTTATACACGGTGGCCCGATGGTATCGCGGCTTCATCGTATTATTCATGAGCTTATAGTCTCGAGAGGGGCTGACGGAGTAGAGCGTGCTGCTTTTATTGCTCGTCGTAGGTGCTATCTCTGGCAAAGCGGCGTCTCGATATCTCTCGCAAGTACCGAGAGACCGTCGAGACGCGGGACCACCCACTCTATTCGCAG